GTCACCTATTGTGAATTATTTATGTCATTTCTATGAGAGGGATTCCCAAGTCCTTCAAATGTAAATATCACCTTTTCCTGCTTAAAAAAATTCATAAAAGTTATGCTGCATTTGTGGACAATGAATCAAAATGCATTCCATTGTCATATACACCTAATTAAAATTTTTTTTTAAATATCCTGAAAAAAAATTTCATAATGGACATTTTGGCACAAAAGAAGGAGTCTAGGGAGAACACGACGTCTCCTTGCCTGCTCCTTGCTGGGCTTGTGGGCCTTTGCCAAGTGTTTCTGCACCACCTCTTGATCTCTTTATTAACATAGTTAAAACATCAAAAGCAATGTCCAAACCAGCAAGATAACAGTTCTGTAATGTATTCTGTGCTCAGACTGCGCTCAAATGGTCCCAAGTGACTCTGCAATGTCCTGTTTTGTTGGTTTGAGGATCCAGTCAAGGGCTGGTTGATCTGTCTCTTTAAACCTATTGACATCCCCCCATCCCCTTTTAAGTACCACCTATTTGTTGAGGACACAGTGTTGTTTCTGTAGTACACGTTCTAGATTTGGCTGATTACACCATTCTGGTTTCATTCCCTGTGTTCTTCAAGACCCCATTCTTCAGAATTTTTTCAAATCACAACTTCCTTAGTTTTGCTTCTACCCTAAGCCTGGTCCACAAGTTGCACCCATTCTTGGCTCCTTTGTGTGTGCATCCACTGAGAAAAATCCAGAATGACAAAAGTCCACTGTGACTGGACAATGTTATGCAGCAATGTGGAAATGAGTTTTATCAGTCACCGCGGCATTACCTATCTCTGAAGAACAGCAGTGTTCTCCCATGCACGGGAGCTTGGTTATCAGCCTTTAATATCTTGTAGTAAAAGTCCAGGGTCCCTGAAATAACTAATGCTTCCTCCCCTCCATCGGTGGCTACTAGCCGTAGGACAGGTTACTAACCACTGCTGCAAAATGACAATTACTGAGAACAATTCAATATGCTGCTTCTCTGAGAGGTGTTTGCCTTAACAGGAAGAAATACTTCCAGCCCTAGGAGGGGGTTGTTTGGGGCATTCGGTGAAGCCGATGGGACTCTTATGATTTCTCAGCTGCTCTTTCTCTGTGATGGATTTCAGCAGTGGTGTGCCGGAGCCGCTGGCAGGGGCTCATGGAGAGCTCACCATTAAATTTTCACAATGTTTTATATCAGTAGCTTGAAATGGGGCATTGTGGGAGCATTTCCACTAAGGAAATCTGCAAATGCTCTAAGTAACTGCATCCCTGCACTCCAGAACACCACTTTAAAAATGTTCATCAGTACGTTGCTGGATTCTGGCATTAAATACGGAAATCATATGAAGAAATCTGAAGCTTATTCTTCCTTCACTACCCTTATAACAAACACTCTTTTTAGCCTCAATATAAAATAAATTTCTTTGTTGTTTGGATGAGAAAGATGAGGGAGCCGGAACCTTCTCTTTACAAACTTGTCTCCACTCCTCAGAAAAGCCATCACTTGGGAAAATTTTCCTTCCCATCATTTCACTGAATGGTTCCAGGATTTCCCCCTGGTATCTGTGAGCTGGATTTTCGAGTCTGCAATGGTCAGCCCCCTTCTTAAGAGGGGAAGGACTCTCGGCTCTGGTGGTAGGATTGTGATGAGAGGGGAAGCCCACGCTTGGCTCTGGGGAAGACGGGGCTCTGCTTGCCTCCCCTTTCACAACCACTTTCCCTTTGAGTTGTCCTTCTCATGCCTGGGGGTCCTGGTGGCTGTGTCCTGTCCTTGCATACCCCAATGATGTAATGCATATCATGTATGTCCCCCACCTTTGCTCATAATCAAGATCAATTTGTCTTAAGGACAAATCTTATCAATAGTTCACCCCGTGAATCAGGGCTCATCTTGAGGTTGCCACCTGCAGGTCCCTCATCTGGAAATACTCAACCTCCTGGGGGAGTCAGGAGGAGACCATGCAGGTAGCGCTTACTAACAGCGGGGTCTGGAATAATGATTTCCCCGGGTTGTGGGACAGCCAGCTTCCTGAGCCTGTCACCTCTGGCTTAGAACAAACTCTGACAAGACTCCAGTGTCTTTCTGGTGGGCACAGTGTTCTATGCCAATGTCGCCATTTTATCTTTGAGCCTTTTCTGGAAAAGAGTGGGGGACACTGAGGAAAGCTGGGTGTGAGAAAGTGTTGTTCGTGTCCAGAGAAGTCGTTGCTCGGGATTTTCCTGGAGGACAGATGGAGTGTCTGACAGGCGGTCGTGATGGGATTCACGTCTACCGGTTCCAGCCAGGGTTGCTGTCCTTGGCTATGAAGAGAGAAGCTTGTGTGGATTTCCTGCTCATTTTTCTCAAAGTTGAGGAAGCAGGCTGAAAGGGTTCACTGGAAGGATTCCCCCAGGTAGGCAGGGGGTGGTTTGTGAGCACCCACACAGGCCTACAGCAGTAATAGGGGGAGCTATTACCCAGCTTCTCAACTGAGCAATGGGTGGGCTCACGGCTTAGTTGGTGAGAGTTGCCCTCATCTGTTGGACTTAGGCTCAGCCCAGCCGCTGTTGTCTTGCACTTATTTTCCACAGTACCAAGAAACCATCCTTAACACTCCTCGTGAGGAGTTTTGGGAGCAGCCACAGGAGCAGCCCTGAACCATGTTCCTCAGAGATGCAATCTGGGGTGGGAATAAGAGGCAGGTAGATGACAGGAGGTGCTGGGGGCTTTGTCGGAGACAGATGGTCCATGTGAGTGAGTCTAAAGATCACAGGGGTTAGAAGGAACTTGATGGACAGAAACTCCACATCCCTCTGGAAGAAGCCCTCTAGATGTTTTGCTGTGGCTCTAAGTGAGCTTTTACTTATTTGGTGTGTGCATGAGCACACTTTGCGCTGCCTTTTGAAATGCCTGTCAGAAGAAATGTATGTTCTAGAAATGGATGACAGAAAAGACTTGTTTTTTTTGCAAAACAGCATGTGACCAAGGTCACGCCATAAAAGAAATCTGGCTTTTCTCTTTTGATGGAATTTAGTCGTTTATCTTAAGAAAGTTATTGAAAAGCTAATTCACCTATTTGAATAATGATAGAATGTGCCAGAATTTCTCCTTTTTGCTATTATTGATGAATGGAGACACACAAAACCTCAGTAAAGAGACACAAAAGTCACCGAAGCATCCTCTGGCTCCCTTTATGAACCAGTCAGCCTCGACAGTGAAAGTGGCACTTCTCTAAAAACATCTGTAAAAGCTCTTGTCATGAACAACTGCCCTTCTTGTGTGGCATTTGCTATCATGTTATCTTCACATGTGGGACCACACCGCCCCTCCCCGCAGTGGTCTCCTTTACTCCAGAACAGAACAGCTTGCCATGGGCAATGGAAGTAGTTCCTGATACCTTACTCTACATGGGGGTTGGAGAAAGGGAGAAATCCTAGGCAAACTCACTCATGGCCGGCCTTACTGTCTGGAAAGGTCATTGCATGAGACAGGAGAAACCCCCAAAGCACAGCATCCTGCTCCTGTCCAACCCCTGTGGCGCAGGGCAACACGACTGTGGACACTGAGTCTCCAGCAGGTGCCCAGCCTGACCACACTTCACACGGTTTCATCCACTGTTTCTGGGAGAATTAAACTCACCCCCCGGGTGGCTCCGCTGGACTTCATCCCAAGAACCTTTCCCTTTTACCGACTTTAATCTCTACCCTTTCAGTCTAACAGATGAAAAGCCTGGTTGGAACTTCTTTCCTGAGTCCTAGGAGTCCTTCTAGACTTGTGGAGCCCACCATGGTCTTGGGGACCCCTGACCCAGATCCTCAGATGCAAAATTTGGATGAGAGGTGCAGAGTGGGGGAAAAACTGGGGAGTGTTCTGAAAGACCCTGCATTCCATAGGAAAGCCCAGGAAGCTACAGTGCAATCGATCTAGATAGGGAACAAGTTCTTCGGAGTGTAGCTGCAAAGTTTCTCATGAGAAAATAGATCAGACCTGGTCCTGTAAGGAAGGAAAGGATGAGTCCATCAGTGAGTGACTCCAGGGACAGGCTCTTCTGCAAGACCCCCAGGGTGCATCAGGAGAAGATCCTGATACAGGTGTGACTCGATTCCCACCTCACCTTTGTGGGCAACCTTGAGCTGGAATTAGGAAATGTGAGGTGTGAGGGAAGGCTGCCAAGGGAAGTGGCCCCTTTGCCGGCTCCCCAAGCCCTTGCTGACCATCTTCAAAGACCCTTCAGACCAGAGAACTGGGTTTAAAGATAAAACAACAATTCCCACTCTCGTCAATAAAATCAGGTGAAGGAGTCCCCTGTTTCAGACGCCTATAGACAACACCAGCAAAAAGACCACAGGGCTGAGGATTGTCCTCTGTTAGCTGAGAACAGAAGGAAAAAATCACAGATATGGCCAGAGCCCCAAACTTGACGTTCTCTTCAAATGTCTGCAGAATTATTTCCCATTTTCCTCCACAATAGTTTTGAATATGACTGTGGTTTGCTGCTTCTCAGGTGGATGGATTATTTTCCTTGCCAGAGTGTATGGCTCTGAAGGCAGTGGGAAAAAAAAATTGCTTGATTTCTGTGTTCCCAACCTGGGGAATTCCAGTCTATTTCTCTGGTGGCAGGGACATGCGTTTTACTGGGACTTACATTAAAGAGCTCTGAAAAACCTTTCCACTTAACCCAGAAGCCTTACGATCCATAGGCATTAGTCTGTTTTTTGCTACTATAATAAAATACTGAGGCAGGCTAACTTTAGAAAGAAAAGAAGTTTATTTAGCTCTCAGTTTTGGAGGTTTGAGTACATGGCACTGACTCATGTCATTGAGGAGATGGGATGGCCCAGGGGCCGAGTCTGTGTAATTGCCAAGGTTCTGCCATCATGTGGCACCTGCACAACTGTCAAACTCCACACCGCGTGCTCCAGCACCATGCGCCCCAGCCCAGAGCCAACTTTCCATTGTCCCGGGAGAGCAGAGTGTGTGTAACTGTTACTCAGGCACAGGACGCTGCACAAGCCTGCCGTCTCCTGCGAAGCTGCTGAGCCAGAGGGGGACCAGGGAGAGGTCCTAGCCTGGACCCTTTACTCTGGGGCAGACTCACTCTGCTGTGAGAGGTTGAAAGTCAGAGATCCCTTGTGGTCTCCAAAGGTCAGGTGAGGCCGAGGGTCTTAGGGTAAGGCTTGAGGGTCTCCTGGAGGGCGGGGTGAAGGGCAGGGTGACTAAGAAAACCTGTCCTTAACTCTGAACACCCGGGACTCCAGCTTCCCTTAGCCAAATCTCTCCCTGTCTCTCTTTTCCTCTAATGCTCAGGTGTCATGGAAAAGAGGGAGGGGAAAGGAAATCGTCAACTTGCAATGCAAAAGATGACGACCAGCATGTTTGGGTCCTGGGGGGCGCTGCCTGTGTGGGACAGGGGAGCTGGGATGGAGAGAAGATTGTTCCTGTTCGTGGACAGAGCCCCTGGGAAAGGAAGGCAAGGCCTGTGTGAGCCTGGGAGAACTGAGGGGCACTGTCAGAGTGCTGTTTTGGGGGCCTTTCTTCCTACTGTTGTGGCTACGCCTTGGCAGAGAGGAACTTTCACTTCCCCAGCAGCCCATCACTGAAGAGCCCACCCCCCACTAGCTGTTGTCAGGGGGAGATTCTGGTGCCCTGGTCCCTGCTGGGCAGGGGTGAGCCACAGTGCCACATTGTGCCTTCTCTGGGGGGACAGGACTGCTGACGCAGCCTCCGTGCTCGGTGGTGTGGGACGGCCCCCTGACAGCATGGCCCTGCACACATCCGAGTCACTACTGATTACAGGAGAAATCTCCCAGAAAGGAGGCAGGCAGAAGGCGAAGGGCCCTGGGGCTCAGTTCTGGGCTGTTATCAGCAAATTGTGTCCCTTTCCACATCCATATGTTGAAGTTCTAACCTCCAGGACCCCAGAATGTGACTGTGTTTAGCAATAGGGTCTTTAAGGAGATAATTAAGTTAAAATGAGGTCATTAGAGTGGGCGCTAATGCAGTACGACTGGCGTCCTTATGAGAAGAGGAAATTCGGATGCAGGCTCACACAGGAGGGAGACTGCGGGAGGCCACGGGAGAAGGGGCTGTTTCAAGCCGAGGAGAGAGGCCCCCGAAGAAACCAGCCCTTCCTACACCTGACCTCAGACTTCCAGCCCCCAGGCCCATGAGAAAGGAAATTTCTGTTGCTGAAGTCACCAGTTCTAGTTGCCTCTCGGTGGCTGCCCTTGGAAACAAGTTCAAGACACATGTGCTCTTGGCCTTGGGAAGCCTGAGGGGCGTCATCAGGGGACCAGTCACAGCTCTACTGGGCGCCTTTTCTACTGCTGTGACCTTGCTTTCCCCCGCCCGCCTGTCATTTCCTTTTTCTCACTTCTGAAGCCCTTTTTCTTACCAGTGTTTCTACTTTCAGATTGGAGTATATAACTTCTGACTCAGAGATGCAGAGAACAGATTTATTCTTTATGAGTCAGAATAAATGGGGGGGGGAGGAGAGGAGGGAAGGAAGAAAAAAGAAAGGGAAAGCATAAGTTAAGCTGATAGCTACAGAGAGATTTCTTTGACTGTTACCTCGGGCTCTGGAAAGCTGAATGGAGTGAAAAGAGGGTGGGAAATGAATGTGTAGAGTGGGGGGAGGGCAGCAACCCCTAAGCCTCAACAGGACATCTTGCCAGAGGGCATCTGGACCCTTTAGAGGATTTCCATGAGACCGTCCACTGCACTTTCCTTCTCTTGCTGAGCTTGCTTAGAGGAGCACTGTCTGGGTTTGGAGGAGCCACGCTGGGCCGAGCCGGTGGGGAGACTGCGGCCAACCATGGTGGGCCTCACGCTGCACCCCTGCCCGACTCCTGACACCTTCCTCCACTGCTGAGTGCTCTTGGTGGATCTGAGGAGGGCACAGAGAGGGCCCTCTGATTTGGTTCACCCAAGTGCCAGCGTGATTTTGCTAATTTTCCATCAAGTGGGAGCAGGACAAGTAAGGTGGAGAGTTCAGCAGGGCCTATTGCTCCTGCAGTCAACTCTGTTAGAGACCAGCTACTCTGGGGACTCCTTTCCTGGAACAGTGGCCAAATCCGCACCATTTCCAACCAGGGCAGGGCGGCCGCAGAATGCTGATTTGAGATGAAGTTCTACTTCCTCCAGGTCTCTGCTCAATGTCACCTGAGCCCACTTCTGCAATGTCTCTACTTCTAGCAACACTCGACACAGCCCACCTGGCTTAAGTTTTCTTCTTGGCACTTAACATCACCTGGCCTGTCATGTGTGATGGGCTTTTGTCCGTATTTGTGGGATATGGGCTGCTCCCTCCCTGGAAAGGAAGTTCCGTGAGGACGGGGCCTTTGTTTTACTTACTGCTACATCCCTACTTGTGTCCAGGACGTGCAATTCTAAGCATTTCTTTTTTTTTTTTAATATCTTATTTTTATATGGTGCTGAGGATTGAACCCAGTGCCTCATGCTTGCTAGGCGAGTGCTCTCCCACTGAGCCACAACCCCAGCCCTCTCTAAGCATTTCTTGAATGAATGAGCAAACTGTCAGAGCTGGGACATCGATTCAGGTTATTATTTTGTTCCACCAACTTTACAGACAGGTAACCTAAGGAATGGAATTCCAAAAAAGCACGTATGGGGACTCTGTTTCTCCATTACACCATGCCTTACATTTTTATGTATGTGAAATCATGTTAATTGTAATAATAGTAACACCTGCTTACGTGTTTAAAAATTCAAGGGATTTTTACCATTTCATGCTATTAGCTCTAGTCTTGGACTGTGCATTAGATGGTGGGACTCACTCCTCTTACAGGGCTGTACCTTTGACCTACTTCTCCTCCTGTGGCTCATTCCCCTACCCCCAGGGCCTCTGTTCCACTCTCTGAATTTATTTATCTGTTTATTTAGAAAATCCCACAAAAGAGTGAGATTATGCAGCATTTTTCCTTCTCTGTTTGGCTTATTTCATTTCACATAATGTCCTTTATTTTCATTCATGTGGTTGCAAACAAGAGCTTCTCTTTTCTAAGTCTCCTCTTTTGCATATATAAACAGATGAGTGGAGAAAGAAATGGTGATTATCTCTTTATCTATCATCTCTCCTCCTCTCTCTCTTAATGAATGCTTAGGTTGTTTCCATGTTTTAGCTCCTGTGATTAATACTGCAGTGAACATGGGAGCAGAGATGTTTTTATGAGGTAGTGATTTCATAAATACCCAGAAGAGTTTCTAAGGCATATGGAAGTTCCTTTTTTTTTTTTTTTTTAGTTGTAGATGGACACAATAGCTTTATTTTACTTATTTATTTTTTTACGTGGTGCTGAGGATGGAACCCAGTTCCTCACACTTGCTAGGCGAGCGTCCTACCACTAAGCCCCCAGCCCCGGCCCATATGGTAGTTTTTTTAAAAAAAAAACTTTTAGGAAGGCTCATATTATTTTCCACAGTAGATGCTCCAATCTACATTTCTACCAACAGTGTATAAGTTTCCATCATTTTTTCCATATTCTTGCTTTCTTTTATCTTCTTCCTTTTTTTTTTTCCTTTATTTTGGTACTGGGGATTGAACCCAGGGGTGTTACCACTGAGCCACGGTCCCAGCCTTTTTTATTTTTGAATCAGGATCTTACTAAATTACTTAGGGCCTTGCTAAGTTGTTGAGGTTGGCCTTAAACTTGAGGTCCTCCTGCCTCAGCCTCCGGAGTCGCTGGGATTACAAGTGTGTGCCACCACTCCTGGCTGTCTTTCGTCTTTTTCATTACAGCCGTTTTCTTAGTTGTAATGAGGAGATATAGAAGGGCTCAGGCAGCCAGGGCAAGATGGTGAGTGAGGAAGTTGTGGGCAGGACCAGAACAAAAGAACTTGGAGAGGGTCTTCTGATGAAGTCTACTTCCTGCTTCACAAAAGTGCTCTTGGATGCAAGTGGGGGAATCCAATCAGACCGTCTGTACTTCTGCTCCTAAGTAGGGGATTCAATAGAAAAGCTAAAACGTGAACAGAGGGGACACCAATCAATAATGGCGAGGAGCACCGGACAGGGGAGGAGACAAGGAAAGGAGGGAATTCCAGAGACCATAAAAAGAACAAGCCGGAACTCCCCCATCAGATTCCCAGCTCTGGGGCCCCTTCTCTCCAGAGAAGTCTCTCTGTCACTTTTGCAGAAAACCTGCCCCTTGCTTGCTGCCTCTCAGTCTTGTTCTTCAATTCTTTGCTGAATGGAGACAATGAACGCAGCAGCCCTAGACGGTAACAGTAAGGGGAGATCTCACAGTGGTTTTGATTTGCCTTTCCCTGATGATTAGTGATGCTGAGAGCCTTCTTATATACCCGTCTGCCATTTTGTGTCTTTGGAGAAACGTCTATTCAGGTCCTTTCCTCACTTTTCAATCAAGTTATTTATTTATTTATCATTATCGAGTGGTGTGAGCTCCTTTTACAGTTTGGATATTAACTCCTTATGTGATGCATGGTTCACAGATATTTTCTTCCCTTTCCATTTTGTTGATGTTTCCTTCACTGTGAAGGAACCTTTTAGTCCGATGAGTTTGGTTCTTTACATTTGGTTTGGTAGCCTGTGGTCTGGGCGTCATGTCCCCAAAAAATCATTGCCAAGGACAGAATCAAGGAACTTTTCCCCTGTGTTTTCTTCCAGAAGTTTCATCATTCAGAATTTGTTGAAGTCTTTAATCCATTTTGAGTCTACCTTTTGGGCCTGGTGTAAGTAAGATTTGGGTCTCTTTTCATTCTTTTGTGTGCGGATGTACAGTTTCTCCAACACGATTTACGGAGGGGACCGTATTTTCCCCACTGTGGAGTCTCAGTGTTCTTGCTGAGGATTAGCTGACGGTATACGCTGAGTCTATTTCTTGGCTCTCTATTCTGTTCCATTGGTCAATGTGTCTGTTTTAATGCCAGGACCATATTGTCCCGGTTCATATTGCTTTGTAATAGAATTTGAAATCGGGAGTTGTGATGCATTTTTTTTCCCCTTTCTCAAGATTGTTTGGGCTATATTTGGTCCTTCATGGTTCTATATAAATTCCAGGACTGTTTTTTTTCCCATTTCTATGAAAAATGCCATTGAATTTTGATTGAGATGGCATTGAGTCTGTCATTTTGAGCATTATGGACATTTGAACAACATCAGTTTTTCTAA